GGATGTTTTTGGTCTTGCATATACTGATTTTCATGTTTTCAAGTTGGAAAACCAATATGAAAAGTAAAGAATCGTTATTTGCATTTCTTTAGTCATGTAGTCTTCAAAGTGTACTTCCTCTAGATTACCCCATTCCGGTGAGTTATTCTGATTCTTCGCTGTACCCAAGCTTGACAAAATGGAACCATCTTGGACAGCTGTCCTCTCCAACATTACCAGTTGTCCAGTTCCATCTCTCTGTTCCTTCCTCTGCCTTCTTCAACAGGTTTCTATATTGCAGTAGTTTGGAGGTAGCAAAGGGGGGATGAGACGAGAGGATTTGCCTCTTTTTATTGAGCTTGTTTGTTTTGGGGTGGCTTGAGTGACCCTGCTTCCACCCCTCTATCAAATCCTTTATTTCTTTATGCCCAGAATGCTGCCTTCAGCCTTCCTCCCCTCCAACGCGTCCCGTACACAACTACCAGCACAGTTTTCCTAAATGAGTCTTTCGTTAGTGTATTCTCCAGTGGCTTCCAAGTCTGTGAAGGCCAGCTGCCTTAGGCAGACACCGCAGTTCAGCCTCCTCATGCCTTTCAGAGATGAGTCATCATGACAGACTCTCTTCTGAATTCCAACCTCCATGCATTGTTCATGATGTCTTCCCCATAGGTTCCGTCCTACCTTTTCCCTGTTTGAATCTTAGCCTTTTTCATGGCTTGAATTAAATCCTTCCTTTTCCAAGAGTTTTTCTCTGGTCATGAGCTATCTTAAAACTGTATTTCATCTGATCTCAGCCGTCGTCAGAGAAAAAGACACACCACTGTTTCATTCACCACTAAGATAGGAAAACAACTGCTCATTAAACTAGGATGGCTTGCTTTCTTTGAATTTTATTTTAAGTGAAAAACTCTACTAGATCTACTTAAACATAGACTTAAACAAATTATGTATCCTCCCCTTGTGCATCCATACAAATATAAGTGCAATGAGTAGGGTAAGAAGTTTCTAAAACTCCTTCACACTTGGGGTCTGGTTCTTCTGGGATTGTCTTTCTAGCCAGTCTCTCCCGTTCTGTATGGTGTAATGCTGGTGTTTTCCTAATCTTCCCAGAAGGTGTCAGTGGAAGATTTTCAGAAAACAACTAGGACACACATTCATTCCTCAAATGGATGTTCAGTGGTTTGTTGACATGTCACTGTTCTACAGTGGCCTGTCCTGCCTCCTGGAGTGATAGCTGAGTCTGCACAAACCTGGCAATGACAACTGTGTCATGATTGGTGCTGACCAACAGCAGGTATAAGGGGACATTGAATATCAGGTGCACCCAAAGCCAGTGTGGTAAAAAGTGAAAAACATGTTGAACTCAGAAAGGATGAAATATGGTCCTTTCTTATCCACGGCACTCACTTTCCATCTTCACGTGCTGCCCCTGTATCACTGTTTACAAGGACATTCAACTGATGGATGTGTTTGATTCTCCTTGGCCTCAGTGAGATGTGCTGAAAGACACAAATCTATCAAAGATGTGTAGATGGTAACTGATAAAACTTGGATCCACTCTTTTTCTTGGGACATATTCAGAAATCTAGAGCCAAATTTCAAAACAGCTCTAGAATAGATTTTGTGGGTTATGTTAAATTTTGGGGGGATTTATTCCTTACATTGATATGGTCATTAACTGTAGTGAGAACTTTTTTGCAACTAAAAAAAAGTTGTACTTTTTATTTATTAGGTGCCTGTGAGGATTCAGGAATTCTATATTTAAATCATCACAAGTCTGTTAGGCAAGTGGCTTTATTTGTAACGTAGGGAACGAAAGCTCTGACCTCACACAGCTAGAAGAAGACAGAGCTAGGATTTAAATTCAGGTCAGCCTGGCTCGCGTGCACTTTTCTATGACACTGCATGGCATAGATTGTACAGACAGGGCTTCGAGGCCCCAAATAGGTGACTCACCATAAATCAGGGATGAGTTCAGGAAATTTCAAAATTTGGAATATAGGCATCAAATGGTAATAATTCAGAACACAGATCCAAGGGAAGCCTGCACCTTATTTTATTTTTTACGGCACTTCCCACAATTTGTAATTATATTTTATTTATAATTACACTAGAGGCCTGGTGCATGAAATTCTTGCATGGGAGAGGGGTCCCTCAGCCCAGCCTGTAACCTCTCACAATCTGGAACCACTGGCTCCTAACTGCTCACCTGCCTACTTGCCTGATCACCCCTAACTACTCTGCCTGCCTGCCTCATCGCCCCTAACTGCCTCTGCCTCGCCCCTGCCCGCCCCCCTCCCGCTCAGTGGTTTAATCCGGAAGGCTGGCTGTAATGACGTCTGGAGGGTTGTTTGGCTGTCTGGTCTAATTAGCATATTATACTTTTATTATTATAGATATTTATTTATATGTTGTTTACTATCTTCTCCCAGTGAAGGCTAGAACGATGGCTTTTCATTGACTTTGTGATGCACATTTTTCACATTTTAAAATCTGTGAATTCAGGATGCATCTTAAAACCAATGTATTTAAGTTTAATTGGCAGCATTTTTACTTTTTCTCTTTGAGTGTTACATAAAATAATGCATCTTATAATTAATTTTTTAAATATTTGATTAAGTAAGTGTGTGTTTTAATTAGCTGCTTTATGCTGAGTATATAGTATATATGGTGCCTGGCCCCATAAAAGTCACTCATAAACATTTACTGAATGACTGAATGAATGAATGAATGAATGAAAGTGGAATTTACACTTTGCCTGAGGTACTTGGATTTCTGCATGAAGTCTCTTACCTCCAGGATGCCCATGGTCCATCTTACTTTCTCATTATGTCTGACTTAAGATTTGTGTTTGGCCAGTATTCTCAGCCTGGAAGGTGCACAGTCCGAGCAGGAAGGGCTGGAGAGCTCCTCAGCTTGGGTCCCTGGCGGAGGAGACTTGTCAGCTGAAGCTGGTACCTGGTGGAAACTACTGGCAGGAAGTCCTCCCCCGCCCCCCCAGTCTTCCCTGAGCAGGGTTTGATAACCCTTTTCTAATGGCCAGAAATCAGTTTTATTTCAGGCAGGCATGTAGCGGGCAGGTGGTCAGATATGGACTCGGGCGTGTGCTGTGCCTTTTTGGTGCTAATTTACCACAATTCTCAGGGGGATTTGTGTCTTCAGGTCTGGGACCCTCAGGGGGATCCCTTATGACACCTGCTGCCTCTACTTTGTCCAAAGAAGGTTGACATTCAGCTGCAGAGGATGGAAGGCGTTGCACTTTCCTGGGAAGCCTTGAGGGAGCCATGGTTACGTCTGCCAAACACAAAATGAATGCCATCAGCCATCTGTGGACATCTTCCAGAAAGTAACCCTCCCCAAGAGATAATGTTGTCATGAGGTAGGGCTGCTCATGAAATGAGGATGGTGCCCCAAATAGCCTCAGGGAAGCACCGACTTAAATCTGATGAATGATAAGCAGTGATAGAATGAATTGGAACCTCTGCCCTGAGGCCATGTGTTGATAGAGGTTTCTTGGGGCCGATACTGAGATGCTGAGCAGGAGGGCGTGCCGATGCCCTTTCAACCCCTCACAGAGGGGAATGGCTTCCAGTGGAGATACCCATTGGCATTATCATTAGAACAGAAAACAGCCGCTTACATTACCCAGGGGCTGACTGAAAAATTATCCCACAAACGAACTGGAACTTCTTGTGCTCTAGGTCTTTGCTTATAAGACCAGGTTTTTTGAATAACCTTGTGTTATAAGGTTGATGAGGTGTTGTTGGAACTTAACTCCAGTTTATATCAACGAGCCTGTGGTAAATTTGGTTTTGTTATATGTCGTTTTGTTTAAAGTTGCAGAACCTGCTGATAATGTGAAGTGAGGCCTTCCTACATTTAGGTCTAAACGTTGCCTCGTTATTAGCCCTACCTGTGGAGGCCATGGCCTAGTATTGGCTGCTGACCAGATGAGTTCCCCAAGTTCCGATACCAAATTAGCATCCACATGAGCAGTAAGTGTCGATATCAAATTAGCAGCTCATCTTCCCAGTCAGTCTCTTGCGAGATTGATTAGCATGGTATTGACAGGATGACTTCCCTATTTCCTGGTTATGTTGGATGACTTGATTGGATTCGAGTTCCTGAACTTTGAACTCTAAGGACTAAATCCTGGATTCAACAATCGAACCTTGAATGTCCTGCCCTGTATTCACCTGGATGAGAGAAATCATATGTACTTAGAGCTCTCAGATCACCTTGGCTGCGATTTCCCATCACGCCTTCACAGTAAGGATGATCAAGATGTTCAGTCACAGAGAATAAATTACCTTGGTTTATTTGTATGTGCAACTGTGTGAGCACAAGTAATTTATGGACATCATTTGCTATTTGCATATGAAATAGGCTTCGTGTTCTTTATGGGGAGAATATGGCTCCTTTGGGTCACAATTAGCCTATCTGACGATTAGTCACAATTAGTCACAATGCTGGCAGTAAATCGTGCATGCCAAGTTGTTTAGACAAAGTAAGACTGAATACCTTGAGCAGTTTATTCAAAGCCGTGGTGGCTTCTCTGATTTGTAGTTTGACCATTTAAAGTTTCTCACTGTTCAGAGAAATTAGTCCCATATCTCTCTGGACTCCAAGCTCATTGTTGGGCAGTGTATAGAATTAAACGAACATCAGAAGAAGTTGGGTTGCAACCAAGCAGTCCAAATGCTTTGATTGGTGGATAAACACGATTAAGAGAAATGTTTAAACTGTACAGCATATAAACAGTGTCACCCTAACAACACCAGGCTTCGGAACAGGGAAGAGGCCCAAGGGGAGAGGCTGTGGCAGGAACGCTTGAGTCGTCTAGGCGTACTTTGACTTTTATTCTGTGTATCTGGTGAATAATACATGCAAATTAGAGTTGTGAAAGTGAACTTCGGGTCCTCCAGGGGACTTTTTATTTGAAAGTCTGTTGGGTGCTGAGTAGGTCTCCTAGAGGATAAAGAGATCATTCTGGAAACGTCCAGAACAAGCAGATCGCAGTGATGTTCAGGATCGGTAGGAGACAGCTCTGGAAGCAGAGTGTCACCCGCGTTTTAACGGTAAGGAGCTGTTGTCTGTATGCTTGCGTGTGTCTTCGGTTATCCTCTCTCACACCTGTGTGGAAGATATCTAAAAAAAGTTCAAAGTTCTACACAGATGAAACTGTGAGAAACATTGTTGGCTACTAATCTGTGGCTAGTGCATAAGGCTACGTTAGTATTTCAATTTTAAACAAGGGGTTTGCATCCTGGGGCTTTTCTGCATGTTGCCACCTAAACCATAACTCCTTGCAGAAATACATGCTGCATCTTTTGGGATGATGCTTGCCCCAGGGTGCTTCGGACACTGTGCATTCTTTGAGACCCATGAACTTCTATTGGTGATGACAGATGGTTAAGTCAGATTCTAGGCTGTGTGTTTTCTAGGGTCTGTGAATACCCTGCCACCCCCATTCTGTAGGCGTGGAAATGAGGTCACAGACCGGGAGATGCAAGGATGTGCCTTGGAGTCACATTGAAGATGCAAGGATGTGCCTTGGAGTCTAGCACAGGGCTCAGACCAGCAGTTTTTTTTATTATGCAAACGTATAGAGAGGGATTTGGAACCTCTTCCACCCCCAGTTAACATCAGAAGAACATGGAGGTTTCGCTGGGACTCCCTTCTCAACCAAACCCACGTTTCCTCGGGGCTTGCTCACTGATCCCCAGCAGTGCATATGATTCAGTCCAGGCTTGCAGTCTGCTGTTTCGCCACAAGACAGAAACAATGCTGTTTCTGCATTTTCTAAGCACTGTTACCCCCTCCTCTAACCCCCTACCCCTGCTCCCAGAGCCCCATATTCGGATACATCTTTTTCAAGTCTGCGTCTTCCAGCCAAGTCCCTGAACTTGTCTTGCAAGCACTTATTCATCTTTTAAAAAATATTAAAGTACGAGAGGCCTGGTGCACAAAATTCATGCACAGGTAGGGTCCCTAGGCCTGGCTAACAATCAGGGCTGATCAGGTTCCCGCCTCCCTGCCTCCTCCTTCCCTCCTTCCCTTGCCACCGATGCGCTACCACTGCGCGGTTCCCCCACCTCCCCGCCTCCTCCTTCTCTTGCTCCCTCAGCGCCCCACCACCGCTGCTGGTCACTCGCCATGTTCCATGCCACCCCCTCGATCAGGTTTCCCGCCTCCCTGCCTCCTTCTTCCCTCCTTCCCTCGCCACCAATGCGCTGCCACTGCGCGGTTCCCCCCACCTCCCTGCCACTTCCTTCCCTCCTCCCCTCGCCACTGATGTGCTGCCACTGCGCGGTTCCCCCACCTCCCCACCTCCTCCTTCCCTTGCTCCCTCAGCGCCCACCACCGCCGCTGGTCACTCGCCATGTTCCATGCCACCCCCTAGTGGTCAGCACACATCATAGCAAGCAATCGACTCCCTGTCGAACTCCTGAGGGGACACTTTGTGTATTAGCCTTTTATATATAAAGATATTTGGTCTACAATATTTTATTAGTTTTAGGTGTACAACACAGCGACTTGACATTTATGTATCTTACAATGTACTCACCATACTTAGTAACTATCTGTCACCATGCAAAGTTCTTGCACTATTCTTGATCACCTTCTCCACTCATCCCTCCACCTTCTGGCAACCATCAATTTATTTGTTGTTTCTATGAGTTTGTTTTGATTTTTTTTAAAAAAATTCTACATATAAGTGAAATCGTGCGGTATTTGTTTTTCTCTCTCTGATTTATTTCACTGCGTATCATACTCTCTAGGCCCATTCATGCTGTCACAAATGGCAGGATTTCATTCTTTTTCATTCCTGAGTAATATTCCATTGTATATGTATACCACATCTTCTTTATGCATTCATCTATTGACGGACACCTAGGTTGGCTAGATGTATTGGCTATTGTAAATAATGCTGCCATATCTTGGCTATTACAACTAATTGTAAATAATGCCACAAAGAGCATGAGGGTGCATGTATCTTTTTGAATTCACGTGCTCACTTTCTTTGGATAAATACTCAGAGGTGGAATTGCTGGGTCATATGGCATATCCTTTTCTGTAGCTTTTTTGAGGACCCTCCATGCTGTTTTTATAGGGGCTGCACCAGTTTGCAGTTCCACCAGCAGTGCAGAGCGTCCCCTTTCCTTCATCCTCGACAGCACTTGTTTGTGGACTTTTCAGTCATAGCCATCCTGACAGGTGAGGTGGAATGTCACTATGGTCTGGATTTGCATCTCCCTGACGACTAAGCATCTTTTTGTATGTCTGTTGGCCATCTGTACGTTTTCTTTGGAGAAACGTCGCTTCATGTCCTCTGCCCATGTTTGATTGAATTGTCTACTTTTTTGTCCTCTGAGAAGCCTCCTTGACACTCCGAGGAGGGGGCAGCTCCCTTCCCTGTGTCCTCAGCACTGCACCTTTTTGTCTGCTAGAGCCCTCGTCACATCACTGTAGTGGAGTGACATTTGCCTTCATGTAATTGTCTACTTTTTTGTCCTCTGAGAAGCCTCCTTGACACTTCGAGGAGGAGGCAGCTCCCTGCCCTGTGTGCTCAGCACTGCACTTTTTTGTCTGCTAGAACCCTCGTCACATCACTGTAGTGGAGTGACATTGGGCACTAATGCCTTTGTTTACGCTTGTGCAGTAAATTGAATGAATGAAACTTTTCACGTCTAAAAAAATTTCCTGTACTTTACCACCAAGGCTAAAACATTAAAATTGATGATAGAATCTTGAGGATAATTAGTGAATTATAATA